CTAAAGCATCAGGCTTTAATGGTTGATGAAAAGCAGACAGCATACCAGTAAAGTCAGGCAGTAGGATGAAAATGCTCTTGTTGCTTGGTCTACTTAAGAATGCTTAACACTTAAAGAAGACTTTGTGTGGGGTTGTGACATTGATAGCAGGATTACAAACAGAAAATAATAGCTAGGAGTATGTGCTTTTCCATGGAATATATAGTTTATGAGTACGGGTACTTACAAGTTCTTTAATACTAACTTGTACATAACTTTATTTTTGAGGAAAGAAGTAGGAAAGCTTGATTGAAAAATTCTTGGTCTAGCCTTCCACTTGAAGTACATAAAATGGTATTAAGAGTGTGTATTCTCTTATTTCCTTTTTTGATACCCCATTGCCTGCTTGCTTTAGTTCCTGACTAATGATTCTTGCTACCTAGTTCCAAATGTCGAACTGCCATCTCTCTGCTCAACGAGGTTTCGCTCTGGACCACCTGGTGAAGAGGCTCAAGCAGCGAGCCAGTTCATTGCAGATGTGATTGAAAAGTAAGAACCATCTTCATGCATTTAAAACACAAACAACTCTGCAAGACAGTTTTCTGTTTCTTGGTTTACTATCTCATTTTGTTTTAGTACACAGATAATAGCGAAAGAAGATCTGTGCATTGCGAGCGGCAAGGTAAGTTGTGTCTCAAAATTAAGATGGATGTACTAACAAGATCACAATGTTGAGATGTTAAAGAACGTATTTGGGTCTATAGGTTGTTTTGTTGGTTTTCCTTTTTTAGTCTTCATAGCTCGGTTTACATCTGAAGTGTAAGAATCGTGTGATGGAAATAAGTGTCTTTGTTCACATTCTCAGCATTTTCTTAGATATTGAACCATTTGCGTAGCTGCTCTGATGTCTCACGTGTGCAAACCTTTTCTGATAGCTTGCTTGGGTGTTATACTGTGATATCATATGTCTGGACTACGATGGAAACATTTTGGATGCCAGTGCCTTTGCTTTGTTAGCAGCATTAAAAAATGGTAAGTCTTCCGTAGAGCAAGAGACACACTGATTAGCGTTGCTTGGAGAAATATGTTAGTTTTGAATTACGATGAGTACATAACTGGTTCACAATTGCTTAAAACTGCTTCCCCCCCCCCCCCCCCTTTTATTACAAAATTATAAAAA